TCAAACAATTGCAAATGACAAGATTATTCCTTGCATGTCCAAATGAAAGATGATTTTTATTGAGGTCTTGAATGTCAGACAGATATTGGAAATTTGATTATTTGAGCTGCAGTTTATTTCCATTTCCTCTTGCACTAAAACACATGCATACTTTTCTGAAGGAAGATAATTGCCTTCCGATTTTGGATGTCGTATTCTGGTTTCAGTCAGTCAGAGAAAATAAGATAAATGTGTTTGATTTAAGATCATTAAGGGCATTTTATTGCTTTTGACTCCTGAACAATTCAGAATCATACTTTGACATAAATTGAAATATTATTTTAAAGTATTCTTCAATTCTGAAGATTTTACTCTAGTTCCTTTCCAATTTTCTATAGCAAAGAGGAAATACTATTACAGGGGTGTCAAACTTGCGTCATCACGTGATGTATTGCAACTTTTCCCCCTTCGCTAAAATGGGGCTGGGTGTGGCCAGTGTGTGTGATGCATCCAGTCCACGATGAATCCAGCCCGCAGGCCGTGTGTTTGACACCCCTGTATTATAATCTGACAGATAGTTTTGGCCTGGTCAGTTTTACAATAATATTTTCAGCAGGCTGTGTGAATAAGCTCTGAAGTTGTTTCTTTCTGATTTCTTTCAAAATGAACACTTTCAGAATTGGGGTGAGGACTCTGTAGCTCTTGAATTTTTTTCAACTGTTTTGGGTGTTACTTTGGCAAAGTGCATGACCACATGCACATATACATGTACAGCATTGAAATAACTTTGTTCAGGCTGTGGACTGATGTGATAAAAGGCAGGATTAATTTCTGCATGAATAGTTTTAGAATTAAATACATGTACTATGCGTACTTGAATCCAGTTATTTCCAGCAAATTCCCCTGCCAAGGCACTGAAAATCTAACTGCTGATCGTGTGATTTGTTAATTTGATATGGCTTGCCACATCCAAAGAACGTGATGTGTTTGGTTGCTGTATTTTTGGAATTTGAAGAAGATAGTAGCCATGCTTTTACAACACTAAAAAAAGGACAAATTTTTCTTTGAAAAAAAAATGTCTACCTCTTTCATTGTTGCAGACCAGAGCAATGTCAGAAATCAGTTTGGTTAGATAATGGTAGTGGAAAGACTTTATTTGGAAAAATCCCACTGTAGAATAAGCTAAGAACAATTGGCTCATATTCTTATACAAGAACTAAAAACAAAGCAGTGGTTGTATTCCAGCTCTACATTCAGTTACTGTACTTGTCTAAGGTCTAATAAGATCTCTAAAATAACTGCATTTTCCCCCTTCTGTTCAATCATGCCCGATTCTCAGAAACTGCCTGGACAAATCCCTGCAATTTGCTTGGCAACATTTTTCAGAAGTGACTTTCCATTGCCTCTTTCTGGGGGCTGAGGGAAAGTAACTGGCCTAAAGTCACCCTGTTGGTTTCATGCCCAAGGCAAGAATAGAACCCACAGTCTCCTGGTTTCTAGCCTTAACCGTTATACCAAACTAGCTCTCAAGAGCAGATACATGGGTGAATATCATCTAAAAGTAAACTGTACTTCCATCACTGTTAATTAGTTTGAAATAGGAGTAATTTGGTCTTTTTAATATACTTGTGGGAAGAAAATTGAACAGTAGTAGTTTTATAACAGTGAATAGTTATGAAGTCAACTAATGTGTAATTCTCAACCTACAGGTTGTGTAGGAGAATAAATGGCAAACTGTACTTAGAAGTACTGTAAAATATATTTTTAAAAAAGCAATTTAATCATGCAGTAGCTGGCATTCTATAAACTCAGAAGGTATAATTAAGATTATACATCCTACACAGACTAAATCTTTTGCTGTTCTAAAACAAACAACCCCAAAAAGAATCAAATGCATTTGTAATTGTCTGGAACAAGACAACAGAAGTACAGTTTTAATAGTATCAAAGCTCTGAGGTTTGTCCAAACCAGGATCTGTTGCTTTTTTTTCTTATTGCAAATCAAAATCATGGTTTGTGATGATGAGATTGAATTATTAGTATAAATGTTAGCTTACAAAATGCATATTCTGCTATTCCCAAAATTTACAGAGTGATTTGCAGATAAAGTTGCAAGCTGTTAAAGGTAAATTCAACTACATATATTTCATTTTTTGCTGCTTGGGAAATAGGAAGAAATACGTAAGAGCCGGACATAGAAAAGTTTATAGTAAAGAAAAGGGAAACATCCATCACTGGACTTCAAAATAATTCTCTGTCTTATTTGTACTGCATACTATTCAATATATTTGGTAGGAGGTTATTTTCACTGAAAGAATAGACTTAGAATACTCTTAGGACATACAGACAATGGTAGCCTTTCATTCAGGTACCCCATCAGCTGATCCTTGAAGTTATAGCACATCTAATCACAAACGGAATCATGTCTAGTAGCTATTTTTGTAACTATTCATTTCATGAATTTGCCTATGTATTCTCAATTGTTCCTGTACTATATACTGTGTGAAAAAAAGCACTTCAATTACTTCTCTTGAATCTTCCACCATTTCTAATATTTCTTCTCAATATGTAATTCAGTTCCTCTAATAGAAATTTAAAAAAAATAAGATGTGGGAAATTATTTCTATCTGTGCCATATGAGGAGGTAGATTTTAGCTATATTGGATAGAAACTGGTTTAGTTTTGTAGATTACAAATTGTGTCCAGAATAGGCATTGCTTTATAATTGATAGTGACTGCAATGACTCACTATTAAAGATAGTCCTTATTTTATGACCATTCATTTAGTATCCATTCAAAGTTACAACAGTACTGAAAAAAGATATTTATGACGGGTCCTCATACTTACAACCATCAAGTAAAGTCAATGGGGGAAGCTGGACTTGCTTAATGACTGCAGCAAAAAAGGTAGTAAAATGAGGCACATTTATATGATGACTCACTTAATGACCATATCACTTAGCAACACACTTTCCAGTCCCAATTATGGCAATAATTTGAGGACTACCTGAATTTATTAAAAATACAGAAAGTCCTTTTTTTAAAGCTTCTGCGTGAATAGGAAGGTGAGCTGTTTTAGGGAACCAATTAAAATTAAAGTGAATTTTAAAGCAGACACAATTTTTTTAGGCTCACGTGGAATTTTTTCTTGGGAAGTGTTAGACAATTGTTAGCTTAAATCCTGAAAAGCATGCTTGTCTCACATTGCAATATGATTTGGTGTTGGAATACATGGTGGATTTAGATTTAGGGATTAAATTAGTGCTTTTGAATTTCTTTTCAAAAATATTGCAAAATAGGCCGTTACCTACAGCTGATGAGCTCCAAGAAGAGCGAAACCTGTTAAAATAGGTCCTGTAGTATTGGCCTTAATAAGTAGTTCTTTGCATGGTCATATCTACACCTGCCCTTTTAAATTCTTCACAAATGAGCAAACCAGATAAATTCTAAACGCAGCCTGGAATCAATTATTACTCAGTGCTGGAGTTTATTAGGACTTTACCTGGCATTCCTGTTGATAAATCAATCAAATGTTTATTGTCAATGCACAACATGTGTACAATGAAATTGAAAGTAATAATAATCTGGCTGTTCTGAGCATTTTTCTATTTTTCTTCATCATAGCATCTACTTTTCTGCACCATGCTTTCCTGTTTTAATGTACAGCATATTTTCCTGATTTAATCTCACAAGAGAAATGAGACGAAGAAAGCCAAATGGTATTTTTAAAATTTAACACTCCAAAAACATAATTGGCATATCTATGAAGAACCTGGGCAGATATTGCTGGTTTGGAATAATTGTTCAGGTAGTCCTTAAGTTGCAGCCATAAATTTGGACTATAGTGTTCAAAGTTACAACAGCATTGAAAAAAAGTGACTTGCAAACTTTTATATTGTATATTTATGTAGTGTACAGTATATTGGAGGTGGAGATCTTTGCAAACTGTATGCAACGAAATTTCATTTTAATGTATGCCTATTAATGTACATTCAAAGTGACAATAAAGTTATTCTAAATCTAAAGTCCTTTCACCTAAAATCGTTGCGGCATCTGTGATCAAAATTGGGGTGCTTGGCAACCAACATGCATTTACGACTGTTGCAGCCTCTTGTGATCATGTGATTGCCATTTGTGACTTTTCCAGCCGGCTTCTGACAAGCAAAATCAAGGAGGAACTTGGATCCTCTTAACGACTGCATAATTCACTTAACTGGCAAAATAGGTCATAAAGCAGGGCATGATTCATTTAACTGCCTTGCTTAGCAACAGAAATTCTGTTCCCAATTGTGGTTGTAAGTTGAGGACTACTTGCATTATGTATAAATAAATAAATAAAATAAATACATGCATGCATACATACATACATACATACATACTGTTACTAATGATCTTGAATTCCTGGAGTTTTTTTCAAAATAAAAATCAATGTGATAGTAAAAATAAAAGTTAGTTCTTAACTATACTTAAGGAATCTCATATAACTCAATCTTGATGCTCTCATTTCTTAAACTGATTTAATAATGAACCCAACAGGAAAGGACCAACCATCTGTTCATTGCTGCAAGATGTTTTTTTTTCCAAGAATACCCTCACCATGAAAATTATAATTGCACAATTAGGGGCTATATTTAACAGAATAGTTCCTAATAGAAAAAAGAGCTTGTGCTCTAAGTGCAGTGTAGGAAGAAGCACATATTTCCCCTTTTGAATCTCCCAACCCAACAGTAAATTAACTGTTCTTCAAGCTTATTTGCTGGTGGTTGCGTTGGAAAGTTAATTATTATGGATCTTTATTAAAACAGAGGTGTGGAAGTGTCTTTGAACTTCTGGTATTTGTTTCCTGCTCTGCATAAACTCAGTGAATATATTTAGCAGTCTATATTTCCCAAGTGGCTTCTTTTGGTTGTTTATTTGGCTATTTTCTGCCATAACAGATGAATAATGAAAGAGTTTGTGAATTTTTTCTTGGTATCTAAATTCTCTCCAAACAGCCTGCTAAAATTCTAAATTTGTTTTTAGGATGATTGAAGAAAGTGGAAAGAGGAGGAGGACGATGGCAGAGAAAAGACAGCTCTTCATGGAAATGAGTAAGTAGACGTCTTAAAAGTTTGAAACTTAATTTAAAAATGTGTTGCAGCCTCTTCAAAGAATGTAATCAGATCCTGTTTCTTCTAAAATTATTACATTGAAATAACAGGGTGTTGTTTCTTGAGAGTTTGTGCCTTAGCTTCAGTCTTTAATAAGATTTAGTGGTGACCTTATATTACCTTTTCCCATTCCACACTTATTTCTCACTGTGATGGTAAATTTCGATTCTAGAATGTACTATTTCACTCCTTAAGCTAAATTTTGCCACATAAATTCAAAATGTAAGAAAAATACAAAAACGCCACAGATAAATATTCTTTTTAATATGATAGTTAACAATGCATTGGTTACTTTTTGTGTGGTGGAATAATTGAACACACAAGAGAGAGGGTGGAGTATGATACAGAATTAGTACAATCCAGATAAATGATTACAACTCCTTAAGGATTAAGTTTCTAATGTAGTTGCAGTTAATAATGTAATAAAAGTCCTCTTTTCATTTTAAAATTGAAATACATGTGGGGAAAGCTCTTTGCTTTTAATTTGTAGGAGCTCAGAATTTTGATGTCATCCGACTGTCAACATATCGGACTGCCTGCAAACTGAGATTTGTGCAAAAAAGATGTAATTGTAAGTAGAAATTACTTTGGAGGGAGGGTAGAACTTGATAAAGACATGTTTCACATTAACAGTTCAAACTAATTTTTCAGTTATGATGGAAAATGTGAATGTTTTGAAATGATAATAGAAAATGAAAAAAAATCCTACTCTTTCTGTTTAGTGGAAGAATTGCTGTTATGATGCTTTTTAAGTTTGTGTAGGATTTCCATAAAAACTAATATTATTCTAAACATTTTGTTGGTCATCATTGGTTTTGTACAATATACTAAATATTAAGCCTGAGTTAACAAACACAATATTTATTTTATATAAATGTGTTTATGTAGCATGTTATGTTCAAAATATAAGGTATACTTTTTATTTATTTATCTATGTACAGGTATACCTATATTACCTATATACAGGTAGTCCTTACTTACCCACCACTTGATCAATGACTGTTAGAAGTTGTGATGGCATTGAACAAGTGTACTTATGACCAGCCCTTGACGTTCTGGCCATTGCAGTGTTCCTGCAGTCACCTGATCACAGTTCAGGTGATTATACTTTCAGCAGTTGCAGCACCTTTCCTGCTAGCTTCCTGCAAGCAAAATTAATGGGGAAGATGGCGGAGGAAGGTTGCAAGTTGCTTCGGTAAGTTCCCCACCCTTCCTGCAAACCTAATTACACCCTCCCACCTTGAGCCTTCCTGTACTCACACGTACCTACCAGCGATCTTCTTCCCAGCCTCTCTGTGCTCACATGCATCCTGCTCCCTCCTTCCTAGATCTTCCTATGTTGTACATGTTGTACCCACCACCTTCCTTCCCCTGACTTTCCTGTGCTCACATGCATCCTGCACCCTCCTTCTCAAGCTTCTCTAAACTTGCAAGCACCCCACATCCTTCTTCCTGGGCCCCACTGCTTTTGAGCACACCCTGCACTCTCCTTCCGTAACACTTACGCACTTGCACTTGCATCTCGTGATTTTGATGACAACCAGGATTGCTGGGATTGCCATCCCTAAACAATATGATCATGTGACATTGCACTTTATGACCATAGCACTTATCCCAATGCCATTATAACCCAAAGAATAGTAATAGCACTTAGACTTATATATCACTTCACAGTGCTTCACAGGCCTCTCTAAGCAGTTTACAGAGTCAGCCTATTGCCCCCAACAATCTGGATCATCATTTTACTGACCTCAGAAGGATGGAAGGCTGAATCAATTTTGAGCTGGTCAAGATTGAACTGCCAGCAATCGGCAGTTAGCAGAATTAGCTTGCAATACTGCATTCTAACTATTGTGCCACCATGGCTCATACCTTTACAATGTTCTTTTTTTCAAAAAAAGAAAAGAAAAAAGAGGTGAAGTGTTTACTCTAGCTGCTGGATCTAGACAGGTGAAAGTGAAAAGAAAGGATATGAGGAGTAGATTTAAACCATCTATGCTATTTACAGAATTTGACAAAAGATCTGGTGCTCATTTCTTTTACATGCTGTTCACAGCAATCAGAATTTAGAAATATTTGTCCTAACTTATTACTTGCCTCTGTTCGCTTCACCTTGACTTGATTATCAAACATTGAAAAATGCAAGTGTAACAAAAAGTGGAAAAGGTACTTCCATCTTGGTCAATGTAGATAATGTGGGTCTTTTATATGCAATCCAGATGATTTTTTACGTCTTCCACACTGACCTCTATCAAATGATGGTAATGTAGAAGTTAGAGAAAATCCTCAATACATACTGTGTTTATGTTCTTGAAAACAAATGTGCCCGAATAAAGGCAAATGCTGTGGCAGCAGAGAAAAATTTGCCTTTCATGAAATAGGAGATAGTATTCAATGAGGATTGTATACTCTAGTAGTTCTTAAAAGACCCAAAGCTGAGAGTATAATGTACAATTTTGAAGATATGCCAAAAGGCAGGGCAGGAAAAATGTGTTAGGAGGAAGTATGTGTAAATTATGATTACAGTATGTGGTGCAGAGCAAATTCCTGTTGCTTGTTAAAAATAATGTTGCAAGAAGAAGGTGTTTAACGAATACATAATAATATAGCATAAAGAAATTGAAGATGATGGAGAGCTCATGTTGGCATTACCAACATGAGTGTGTTCACTGGAACAAAAGAAACTGTTCCCTTCAGTTAATTATTAACTTTTAGAGCAAAGCCTGACAGTTTCATTCATGGAATCACAAAATTCTAAGGGTCGTGGCACTGTGAATTTTAGAATGCTTATTTTAAGAAGTTCATAGGTAAATGTAAGTTATTTTTATGAAGGAAATATCTGCAATTTGTATTATTACAAAATTGTCTTATAGAAGATTTTCCTTTTTTAAACATATATAGTTAGAATTGTAACAAATTTTATAGTAGCTATAAAATCATAGAAATGAAAGAGACTGTTTAGCCCTGGAGTCCAAGTTCTGGCTTACTGCAAGAGTTAATTATTAAAGCATTTTTAACAGATGGTTGTCTGGCCTCTGCTTGAACATGTGAAAAGGAACCCATCACCGCCCTGGATAATTGGCACCGCTGTCAAGCTGTTTTCATAGTTAGCATGCTTTTTCCTAACATTCAGCCAGAAACTGTCTTCTTGTAATTTAAACCAAGGAATGTGCAAAATTTACTGATTTGATAGTGGAATATTCTGGAGAACTTTCTTCTGGACCATGCCATTCTGGAACATCATGTCTGGGACACTTCAAATTGCTTCAGATTTGTTGGATTTGCTTCTGGAAATCAGTAAATTATTTAGTACAGTAGACCAGAACAGGAACAGAATGTTCTGTAGTTGGGTGTTTTATTTTAAATAAATCAGTTTATTTAATTTACTAGGGGATAATGTCAGGGTTGACGTTATCAGGCTTTAAGTTTGACAGATATAGGTTGCTCCAATCTCAAACAGCTTACCGTCCCTAGTTAATTTATTATTTATTATTCCATGAAATAATGTTTGGGATGACAGAGGACAGACCTTGACTATATGTATGACCTTCCTGTAGTCTCCGCCCCCCCCCCCCCCCCCAAGGCTAGACATATCCAGTTCTTTCCATTTCTTGTATGTTTCCACGCTATGATTCTCCTATTCTCCTATCCAGTTTCTTTGCATCTTCCTGAAATAGTGGTCCTCAGATGTAGATAAATACAGTACACCAGGTAGCCTCAGACCAATGCAGAATATAGTAGTAATATTACTTTCTGTGATTTAGAAACTATATTTCTATTGAGGCATCAAAAAGCCTCAATTTGTTTTGAATACAGTAGTTAAGTCACACTGGTAACTCTCAGCTATAATTCTGAGGTACTTTTCACACATTTTATTACCAAGGCAGGTATTCCTCACCCTGTATCTTCCTTCCTTCCTTCCTTCCTTCCTTCCTCCCTCCCTCCCTCCCTCCCTCCCTCCCTTCCTTCCTTCTATCTGATTTTCCTTATACCTTATATCAGTTGGGGCTTATATATGTTTGAGACTGCCTATTCTGGGTAGAATTTGCTTGCCTAGTACAAGTAAACAGGAAATGTTCCACTTATTGTAAGGTGTGGCAGCAAAATTACATGGAGCTGAACATTTTCAGTGAGTTCCCCCTCAGGTGAAAGTAACCCCCCATGCTCATGGCTGTTCAGAAACTTTTAAGATCTAGCTTTTCTAGATGACTTTTGGAATTTGATTTTGCTCTGAGCCAGACATGGCACTAGAAATTTTGTTCATTGTTTAATGTTGTCATTTTTATTTTTGATTGTTCTATATATTCTATAATCCCTTAATTACTTACTGCTTAGAGTCCATAGATTGAAGCAATATAGGAACCTTGCAATTATTTTTGTGTAATATTTATAATATTTTTGTTTTTTCCAGTACATCTTGTGGATATCTGGAATATGATTGAAGCCTTCAGAGATAATGGCCTTAACACATTGGACCATAATACAGAGATCAATGTATCTCGACTAGAAACTATCATTTCCTCCATTTACTATCAGTTGAATAAACGCCTTCCATCTACTCACCAGATCAGTGTGGAGCAATCCATCAGCCTTCTCCTCAACTTCATGATAGCAGCATATGATAGGCAAGTGATTTTGTTCTTGAAGCAATCTATGTTTCTTCTGACCAAAAACTAGGTGGGCTGGAGTAAGCCTGAGATCTATAGAACCCAAGTTGGAGCCTGGGTCAGTAGGGGCAATCTCAGCTTTTCTAACTATGGTTTCTTGAATTGACAATAGTCAGTAGTTAAAACCAAAGCTTCTAAGACAAGATTTTTCTTACAGGTACTCCTCGGTTAACAAAACAGTAGTTGGGAGAGAATTTCTGCTGCTAAGTGATACAGTCACATAACTGTGTTTCTTAATGATGGCAGTTGCAGCACTTCCTAGTTGCTGTCATTAAGCAGACTCTAAGGCCATCATTAAGTGAGGACATCATGTGGTCACTATTTGTGAACTTCTGGCTTCCCCATTGACTTTGCTTGTATGAAGCTGGCAAAGAAGGATGCAGATGTTGACCAAGTAACTCAGAGATGCTGCAGAACTCCAAGAACTGGTCATAAGTACTACTCGGTCAACCCCAGTATAAGTATGGTTACTGGACAAGTGGTCATTAAGCAAGGATCAACTCTATTTTTCTTTCTTCTTTTCCCTTTTGTGTGTTTTAGGTTGTAATACTGGGAGTGGAAACTCCTTTACTTTTTCTTGACTGTAAACTACTATAGTAAATACTATGTTTTTTTTATTCAGAAGCTTTCCATTTAAAATATGAAATGGTATATGTACTTGGTAGCCAATACATTTTTTCTTATTAGTCGTTGCCTGATGAGAGTGCTTTTCCTTTTTCACTGGGCAACTGGCAATCTTTCCTCCCACATAAGGGAGAAGACTAAGTAGATCAAATGGCATTGTTCTGTAGAAGTTTAAGTCCTTTATATGGTTTTTTTTTAAAAGGAAAATTAAACATCCTCACTTCCCTAAGAAACATTATTGTGAGCATCTGTTTTGAACCCTGGGTTAAAAATGCCAGGGAATTATACTTTTTTTCTCGATCTTTGTTCCTAGTCTGCAGATGCCAGTTTGCAGACAGACTTTTGACTTTTCACTTGCTGCTCTAGCTTCCAGATGATAAAAGAGAACAGATCTGTGCCAAGCTTTCGTTTGGGTCTTTGGAATTTTTTTTATTTTATTGTGGAGGTGGAAGTTGAAAGAAAGAAAAATTTTCAGTTCCTGCAAAGGGAAGGAAGCAGGCTGTGAACAACTGAAGGAAGTAAAAAGCAGTCTATTTACAAAGCAAACTTGCTTAAAATAAATTTGTAGTTAGTTGGAAGCAGAATAGGAATTTTATTGACTGGGAATTATTTGGAAGGATTCATTTGCAAGATGAGGAATAGAGGCTAAGACTTCAACATTTATTTAGCAGCTATATTTAATTTAAGAAAATGGGAAGAAGCAAAAGAGATTGGTGGGATTGAGTCATCATGTTTGGTCAGTTTGTCTTAGCCATAAATAAAAATACGATTTTTGTAATAGAGTTTGCTCTACCTGATTCAGTTGTCTCAGCTACAAATTTTCACAGTTTTAGTCACAAATTGACTTCTGTGGACCTCACTTCATATTTAAGAGGTCTATAAGGGGGCATGCATAAGTGCGCTAACGTGCCTATTGTCCCTGTCATTTTATTTTTATATTATTTGTGTTTTTGTTTTTGTTTGACAAATTATAAATATAAATAAATAAACTGCTGAATAAGCCCATCAGAATATAAAAACAGACTTATCCAAAAACTTCTTACAAGCTTTTTTGTTACTCTGATGTATAGCAACCTGAACATACTCTTACGACTCTTAGATACTAAGATCTCATCTATAGTCTCTTGGTTTGGAAAAGATATAAGAAGTACCATGCGTACAATATTTAAATTGTCACTGATTGTATCAGTGTCTCTTGATAGAGATACTGATATAGAAAATGACGATATTGGTGAGGCAACTGATATCTTCTCAAATCTACACACAGCCAGCTAAGTGAAACTGTCTTTGTATATAGCTTGGAACACTGAGGCAATCAAGAGCTACAAACAGAATCTACCATAGAATTAACACAAATAACTCTGTAGAGTTAACATTCCATAAAAATTATTGTATAAGCAGAATTCTTTTTTCAAATAGAAGATATGTGCATTTTAGGTATCTGAACTTGATTTTAACAATCCCAGAAATTGCTTGTGTTGTATAAGAGATGAGGTGGATTCCTCTTCAGTTCACTTAGCTCTCTTTCTCCATAATATTTTTTTTCCTAGCAGAAAAGTAGGTTTTTGGACAAATATTGTTACATGTTGTCCTGTTGAATAAAATGGTAGGTGTCCATAAATCGGATGCTTTCTTACTCCAGCAGTAATTTAAAATTTCTTATGTAGTGAGTATGGCTTATCTTTTACAGTGAAGGTCATGGAAAATTGACAGTGTTTTCCATAAAGGCAATGTTGGCAACTATGTGTGGTGGAAAAATTCTGGACAAGTTAAGATGTGAGTATTTTGACTATTTTGAGTCAATAATCTATTATTAAAATTTTATGGTCAAACACCAAGTTTGTGCCATTTAAAACACTAACTTTCATCATTGCTTTTTTGCCGTGGGATAGAATGATATAATATAACATTATAGCAATACCTATAGAACTTAGAGTTATATACCGCTTCATGGTGCCTTTACAGCCCTATCTAAGAAGTTTACAGAGTCAGCATATTGCCCCCAACAATCTCATTTTACCAACCTCGGAAGGATGGCTGAGTTAACCTTGAGCCGATGAGAATCGAACAGTTGGCAGTTGGCAGAATTAGCCTGCAATACTGCATTCTAACCACTGCGCCACCACGGTTCTTATTATTATCCTTTTTTTTTTCTTTTATTCAGGGAATATACTTATTTGCAAAATAGTAAGACTTTACAACAAATGAAATGTCTGCTCAATGCTAGGTTTAAAATATTAAATATAACATATTGCGAGCCACATTTTCATATCTGCCTTTGATTTGTATTTTAGATAGTTTCTCTCAAATGTCAGATTCCAATGGGCTGATGATATTTTCAAAATTTGACCAGTTTCTAAGAGAAGTTCTGAAACTTCCTACAGCTGTTTTTGAAGGGCCTTCTTTTGGCTACACAGAAAATTCTGTGCGAACATGTTTTCCTCAGCAGGTAAGCTTTATGTGAGATGATACACAGGGCTTTAAGTGCTGTCTTATATTCAGTGTCCTCCAAATTAATCATAAAAGATGAGTCTATGAAAGACTAGTTCCCTTTCTAGTTTTCTAGAAAGCTCCCTGATGTGTAGGGTGAATATATTCATTCGTTCATCATCCTAAAATAAACACACATTTCTAAAATGTATTTTAAAGAAAAATATAGTAGAAGATAGCAATGCTGCTTTGCCTTCTAATTAAATTCTAATTAAATAACCTATTTTATAAATTTATTGTAACCGTAACAGGAAAATAAATGTGAGTATATTGAGACTAAAATTCTATCTAGTTAAAAAACACAATTGAATCAGAATATCTTTATTTTTAAGATAGTGGATTTTGGAGAGAGAAGGATGCGTTTAGCAATAGAACTCAAAAACACATAATCTTAATTCAGCTGTATTATGTGCTTTATGGTTTCTTACAACATTCTTTTGTATTGGGTAGTTGTTGTTTTTTTACTCACTTATTAGTCCAATTCTGCTTGGCTTTCCTCTGAACTTTTATTTCTTTGTTTTGCAGAAAAAGGTAACATTAAATGTGTTCTTAGACACTTTAATGGCTGACCCTCCACCCCAGTGCCTTGTGTGGCTACCTCTGATGCATAGACTTGCCCATGTTGAAAATGGTATGTGGCATATATTCCTGAATCATTCTTTACATATGCAGTATGAGCTTTGTACTTCCAAGTTCATTGAATTATCTATTGAAACCTGGGTGCTCTTTAAGCCAAACTTGTGTGACTTAATGTGCAATGGAATGATATGCGTGTTTGAACATTCGGTGAACTTGTTTCATAGAACCTCAATATTTAAGCCTATCCTTTAGCATTCATTATTGAGTTTCACTTTAGTAAGAAATTTTAAAAAGTGTTGTTGAATCAAGTCTAGGCCCAATCTAATCCAACATTCTACTTCTCAATATCTAATCATTACTTCTGAAATGTAGACTATGAGTTGACCTATACTTCTTGACAACTGGTAGGCAACAGCATACTGTTTATGGTCTTGGAAACAGTGTACAGTTCCATTGGTGTTAGCCAGGGGTGGAATGCTACCGGTTCTGCCCGGCTCAAAACGTAATCAACAAACCGCCCTTACACAAAACATAATCAACAAATTCTGCCCTTACGCAAAACGTAATCAACAAACCGGTAGTAACATCGGTTGAATCCCACCCCTGGTGTTAGCTAATTATAACCTTACATTCCATGAATTTGTCTAATTTCTTTTTAAGTTTTCTATTGGGTCCCTTCATAAACGATGTTTTAAATGAACCATTCTTGTATCTGATGCCTTCTTTAGTAGCAGTGGCATGGACAAGTTCATTTAAGTATACCTTTCTTGATCTGCAATAACATTAATTTTCATGATTCCCCTCTTTATTTTCTAAGTCAAATTTGGTTATGAATTTTTTTTCTAGGAGGGCTGATTACATCTATGTTGAACTTAATAGCAGCGAGGTTGTTATTTCCAAGAGGCTCATTAACAGTTACACCTCATACCCAGTTTGGGGGGAGGAATCTCTAATAATTCCCATTGACTGTCTCTAAGAGAATCATAATCTCAACTTCAGCTTCCTAAATTCTTAATTTAGGAATATTGCATAGTGTAGCAATTATAGACAGGAGATATGAGCTGGAAGATCCCCTCCCTCCATTCCAAGCTTGGATTGGTCTTGCATTTCTACAAAATATCTGGTAAACTTAGAGACTAATCAGTTTACCTGAGTCTCTGTCTAATATTTCATAGCTATTAAACTCTTCACTTGCTAGTATTTGGGGTAGTGTGTGTTATGGTTTGACTTATTATCTAAAACTACAAAAAAGAAGGATAGAACTAGAAGTTTATAGACAATTTATGACTCCTATTTAAAGTACAATATGTAGAATTCTCACAGCACTAGACTCACTGAGGACTGTTTATGCAGCTTAGGACGAAGAGGCCTGTTTTTTCAGATGCAGTTCTTACTATTTCTTCCCCCCCCCCCTTTTATCTCCTTCAAGTCTTCCATCCTGTGGAATGTTCTTACTGCCGATGTGAGAGCATGATGGGCTTCCGATACCGATGCCAGCAGTGCCACAACTATCAACTCTGTCAAAACTGCTTTTGGCGTGGCCATGCAAATGGCCCTCACAGCAACCAGCATCAAATGAAAGAGCATTCCTCTTGGGTAATCACTCTCTAATGTACTCTTTTCTCTAGAGGCAGGTCTGGTGCCTTTCTAGTATGTGAGTCATAAGCAAGGAACATTCCACAGTCTGCAGCCATAATGGGGAGAATAATGGACAGACCAGACAACATACTTTTTAGTCCTATTGATCCTTTGGTTAAAATTGAAAGCCCCACAGCACCCCGAGGGCTTGAACAATGCAATAAAAATATGTCAGGAGTTACAATTCTGATGCACTCTGAACAAGTTGTCTTTATGGTATGTTTAGAGGCCGCTTGTTATGAGTTGTTTCTATAACATAGATAAGGATGGGGATTTTTAATTGGTATACTATAGTACTTGTGTTAGTTTTGGCTGTAGGAACAAGCTGGTTATCTTTTGGTTGCTTTGTTGCTCAGCTGGATCCCTCTCTGGTTCCTACATCTGGTCTCTGGGCTGGTGTTGGAATCTCCTTGCCTTATGGTACTGGGTGATTTCAGTCTCCATGCCTTGGCACCTGGTCAGGGAAAGCTTAAGAATTCATGGCTGTCATAGCAAGTATAGTCTTAGCACATGTAATCTGTAACCCATCACACTCTGTTGTCATACATGAGACCTTGTGTTTGCCTTGGAGCAATTAAATTATAATCCTAATATAAATAGTATTCCTGCATTAAGGAAGTTAAGGAAGGAAATATCTCAAAAAAGTGTTATAATAGGAAGGTAATTTAACTTTTTGAGCATTATTATCAATAATTTTGGCATAATAAATGGAGCAGGATCATTTTTGTGCCCAATAGTTAATTTAGGGAATTTATGGAGTGGCACCGTGGCACTAGAGGTGAAGACGCTCACTTCCCACCTAGCCCCTTGCAGTTGCCCCAACTCCACCCTGAAAAAGGGATTACAGGATCATGAAAAGGAAAAAAAAAGCTAATTTAGGGAATTTATAAACATCTAATTTAGGGAATAAAGGCTGCCTTTTGTAAATATAACAATAGCAGAACTCAGGTTCAATAGTTACTTTAGGAAATTTATAAAATACTACTGGTATATTTTTATAAATACTATATTTTTAGGATTATCTATTTTAAATAGCACATTCTGTGTGGCCATGGGTATGCAATGAGATGCTCAGCCTCTTTCTCCAAATCCCAATCTATCCCTTCACTGTTTCCATCCTAAATTCTTTCTAAAGTTTGCCCAGTTGTGCAGAAGTTGTGTTTGAAGAGATGACTGATGATTTATTACACTTTAATGACAGCCTTCTCACTCCAATGCATGTTCCATGGATTTGTCTAGTAGAATTAAGTAGTATTTTAAAAGAGAAAAGGTTTTCTTTGGCATCAATGACTTGAAGCTGGCAGGGAATGCTTGGGAGGCTGTAAACGAGACTGAATTATCTGTTTATTTAATAAAACTACTTACTGGCAGGTGAGATACCTTGCTCATAAAACTATTAGTAAAAATAGCTTAGCCTGGAGCTAAAAAAAATAGTTCAACAATATGCTGATGGTCAGTATTCCTTTTCTTGGCAAAGGATTTGAGAGAATGCCAGGTGATGAATTCAGTTATTCATAGTAAAAGCTGCGTTTTGTGATCCATTTCATTTAGGTTTCAGATCTGTATTTAATTATAGAAACTGTTATATGATTTTTGCAGAGAGATGGCAGATAACCAAGAAATCTATTCCTATTTTTTTTTTAGATTTCTCAATGGCTTTTGCTACTAAACATGAAATTGTTTTCTGGCTAAACTGTTTGAATCATGTCTGGAAACATTAATTGATGACTGTGCTAATTCTGTTTTATTAACCATCCTGATTATATTATCAGAATCTTAATATTTAGGGAACATTTCCCTTGTAGGATTAACTGAGTTATATGGAAGAGATTCTGTAAGATGTGATGGAGTACCTAATAGGGAGGGCAGCAAGACAAGACAGGTAAGGGAGAAAACATGGCCAGCACAGAAGAAAAAAGCTCCTGAACCCTGGAGGAGGAGAATGCATAAGAAAAAGACTCAAAGTAACTCTGCCTTAATTACATTAGCTTATATAAAAGAATTACTTTAATAGCATTACTATATTCTGTTGTATTATCCCGCTAGCAATCCAGTAATGGACTTGTCAGAAATCTAAGCAGTTCTTGTTACTGGAGTTTGTCAGCTTTGATAGATACTGTTATACACATCTGTGTTCACATGTGTATATGTGGATTTATCCATAGTATGGATGATGTACATTCATAATTATAGCCATGAGCAGTGGTTACTGTATTGCATAAGCAACTCAGGTTATTGGATATGAAAAGCAATTTCCTTCTTATAATAACTTCTTGTATATAGGTTGGCCTGGCAGTTAGATGTTGTTTTGTTTAAAGTTACAGTGGACTATTTCATTTCAGTGCACTTACTGGTATAAGTAGAATTGCAACATAATGCCTGTCCAGCAGTCACTTGTTTTCCCTGTATGTTCTAAACATTTCACCACATAATAAATTACTTGGGCTATGATCCAGAATGTCCACTTCCCTTTGTGATTAGGTGAGACAAAGCCTTCTATACTCACACAATAGCAGAACTCTGGTCATTAATATTTTAAGCTTTCTTGTGCTTCATATGAAATGTTTTAGACGTGACTGTATTTATGTATGCAAGAAAAAAGCAAAGTGTTTTCAGCATTATTTCTATGGCCATTTATAGTTTAAAATTTGTTGATAGGTGATGCAAACTTGGAATATTCCAACGAAGGCTTATGGTACTCTTCAGATATATCTGATTTATCATATTGAGTGTGTACTCCTCCTTTTAATATCTATTTGTATTTAAAATAATATGGCAGTTATACCTGTCATATTATTTTAAATAAAAATAGATATTAAAAAGAGGAGTGCACTACTCACATATGATAAATTGTTTTCACCTTAGTTACAAATGTAATGTGGCATACTTAAGCCACTGTAAGCCATTCTGTTAGGTGACTTGAATATCTTTATTTTAACAGGTTATGATATGAAAGTAACTTTAAGAACATGCTTTTTTCTTTCTTTCCATTCTGTTGGAGATCCTAAGAGCACTAAATAGTGGAATAAAATACTTTCCATAAATAAGTAAATAAATTGTAAGAATCTGATTGTGTAATTCCCTAGTTCAAATGTAAACCAAGTTGAATATAATTTCAAAATGAACATTACATGAAAATTCTGATGACAAGTGTAAATACAATTAATGTGAAATACGACGAGTATAAAAGGCAGTAAGTGACAAATACCTTTTCAAACAAAAAAAAAAAAATAAGGAGGTTAACTTGATTTCTGTAGTTCATATAGGAAATCCTATTTTAATGAGTGGCACAAATCACCATCAGTTATTGTTATAACATTAGGATCTCAAAGTCTTAATTTTTTTAAACAAGATTTTGAGTAGAAAAAAGGCAGATTTCTTTTTAAAACAATGTCAGCAAAATTAACACATTGTGATATCCATAATAGAACTGATTTATTAAAAATCTTGAACAAACATGTTAATATTGTTAACATTGTCTATCGCAAAGACCTTCAAATTGGCTTTAAAAAGAAATTGACCAGAATATGATTGTGTGTATTTTTTAATCAAAGTGCTTTTCAGACTCAAACTATACATAGATTAATTGCAGATCTCTGTTGGTTATCCAGGGTAGAACATCTATCGCCTCTTGATTTCATCTATGTTAGTTTATTTCTACTATAAGTAATAAGATTTCTGTATTCTGTTAGTGGTTTTAAACCAGCTTTTAAAAAATTGACAAGTTTAAGATATGTGGACTTCAACTGCTAGAATTCCCCAACTAGTATCTCCCCATTTCCCCACTTATAAAAAGAATTTATGCTGATATACCACCTCTAGCTGAACTATATTCATTCAAGTATATCTCCTTTCTGTTTTAATTGTTGCAGGGTATTACACAATGTTGTTTTTTAAAGTAGTCTAGAAACTGGCAAATCCAGTGAACCTGGAAACAGAATTGATAGCAATGGCATAGTATCAGCAGTTCATGTTGTCATATTTTATACAGCACTTTGAAACGGTTTACTCTGCATCCCTTCCACTAATATTAAAGCCATTTTGTGTGTTGTATTTATGCCAACAGTTTGAAGAAATATTGCAATAGAAACTATATAAATGCTTAAAGTGTCTGCTTCTCTCTTTTTTAAACGAATGAATGGAAATCCACCAATTTGCTTCGGTGAAGAAAGAATGTATACAAATCTGTTTAAAGGCATCGTTTACATTATAGCATATCTCACTGTGATGTATTTAAGTTCCATCTTCCTGTCTTATCCTTGCCAAATATTCACATATTCTTAAATCCTAAACATTGTCTCAGAATTGAGTACAGTACTGTAGATTTATACTCACTGAACTCAATTATCTTTCACACTGTGACAAGAATAGCTCTATTTTTTTAAAAAAAGAAAGATGGTTTAACACATCTTGTACAATGAGTTCATATGTCACTGCATGCATTTGTGGTTTCTCCTTTTTTCCCCAGAAAGTACTCCTTCAGTGGGGGGGGGGGGGGGGGAATTGACTTCTTAATTACGTTGCTAAAAAAAAATCTATGGAAACAAAATATTGGCTTTCCTGATTATGTTCCACTCTTCTGAGTTAAGAGCTCACTACTCCTCCATGTTAGTCCTTGAAAATAATTTACCTTGTTTGCAAAACAGAGAGTTTTGCATGGCAGAAGATCAGACAGAAAGTCAGAGTGGTTTCTGTCCATTAGCAGAAGAGAATCTGCCAGTGGTATTGACCTTGATGTAAATACTATACTACCACCTGCTGTTCAAAATAACCATCCCCTTTCCTGACTTCTGGAACACCATACCCCTGAGAACTGGAAACCTTTAAAAATATGTCTTTTTGGGGGGAGATGTGGGTGTCAGGAGGTTAATGAGCCCTGTCACACAAGTGCTGTTGTGACTACTGTTATCCTTAGCTGCCACTATATGTATATTTGTTGTTACTGTTTTTCTAATTTTTTAAGTATGTTTGCCACCCAGAGTTGCTAAAGTTGTGAGGTGGGCAGCCATGCAAACCAATTAAAATAAATAATAAGTAAATCCCTTCCAGCCATGTTCCAATGTTCCATTTCTCAAGAAAGACTCTAGAGGTGTCAAATTCAATCCCATTGTGGGCCATATCAGGATTTTATTTGCCCTTTGGGGGACAGGATGGTCGTGGCCTGGTCATTGTGGCTGACGGGGTGGCCATGGCCAGGGTGGCATGGGCTGGTCCCTCACTGTCTCCAGGACAGCAACGCGGGACAGCTCTGGGCCTATTGTGGGCCAGATTTGGCCCACGGACTGCATGTTTTACACTTCTGCTCTAGAGCAAGGTATTAGTAAGCAAGTTTGGACATGAGAAATAAGAAAGGAGAGGGGGAGAGTAATCTTCTGTTCATCCTGCAAAGTAATCACAGAATACAAATTCTCCTACTATATGCAGTACAGTATTCACAAGGCAGTGAGTTGAGGAGAGAGCATGAGCCATGGGCCTCTTCCGGGAAACCCAGGTATGTCTCCAAGGCTATGGCTATGGTTTGAGCACTGAGAGTTGTTTCTTTTGAGGTTCAATTGCACTCTTATCTAGTGTGCTGCATAGATTGATCTGCTGTGTTAATACTAGTCTCTATGTTTAATTCTTTCTAAAAAAAAAACAACAGAAATCGCCTGCCAAGAAGCTGAGCCATGCCATTAGTAAATCTCTTGGTTGTGTACCCACTAGAGATCCTCCTCACCCTGTATATCCGGAACAGCCAGAGAAGCCCCTTGACCTTGCCCATATAGTGTGAGTATATATCTTCATTTAAATATGATTTGTTCTGTTCAGTTTGATTTCTTGTTGGTCAGGTGGTGGTCTCTAAGTCCTTTCCCCCCTTTGATATACATGGTGCTTATTGTTCAGGAGAGGTCTAAAAATGAAATAAACTTCAGGCGTTTTAGGGAAAAAAAGTATGATTAAGATTTGGGAATACTGAAACGTCAACAGTTGGTTTAGTAATCCTTCAAATACTGATTATCAATTTGAGTCAATACGTTTCTGTTTCAAATATTCATATTATCTTAGGACCTGACTAATTTATTATAGGTAGTCCTCAACCACAATTGGGCCAAAAATTTCTGTTGCTAAGCAAGGCAGTTGTTAAGTGAGTCATGCCCCAATTTATGACCTTTTTCCCATGGTTGTTAAGCAAATCACTTCAGTTGTTTAGTGAATCATATGGTCATTAAGTGAACCTGGCTTCCCTCATTTACTTTGCTTGTCAGAAGCTGGTGTTAACACAGCCACGTTTTGAGGGATTTCCAAAAAGACAGCAGGAAAGGGGCCACTTTGGGAGAGAAGATGATTTATAGAGTGAATGCCACAACAGAAAATGCCCCTTTTCTGGGTTCTGCCAGATATAGCTGCTTCACAGCATACTTCTTCTGCCAGATCTGATGGGATGGGTATTTGTAGCTTGGAAGAGGTGGTCCCTCAAATAACCTGTTCCCATGCCATGAAGGATCAAAAGTCAGAACCATCACCATGAGTTGGACAAGGAAGCAAAGTGACAGCCAATGCAAGTTGAGGAGCAGAAGCGTATAATGTGTGCTACTTTCAGGTGCTGCCGCATTCTGCACCAGTTGACGATCCCAAGTACTTTTGAAGGGAAGCTCCATGTAGAGTGTATTACAGCAGTGCAGCCAAAAGCTGATCAGGTCATGAGCCATAAAATTGAGGAAGGGGACTAATTGGCACACAACACAAACCTGTCAAAAGGCTCACCTAGCTAAGATGACCACCTGCACAAGCAGAAGTCTAGGAGGACCCCTAAGATGTGCACTGGGTCTATCTAGGGCAGCGCAACCCCATCCAGTACCATCGCAACATAGAAACAGAACTGACAGTAGAAAAAGACCTAGTGGTCCAGCAAGTCTTCTCTTTGAGCTTTTTTGTTGTTTTCTTATTAATTAATTACTCTTTTGATTGTTTTTTTTTAATTTTAGCTGGATGATGGACATGTGTTTATCCCAAGCATGTCTAAACTCATTTACTGATGATTGACCCACTACCTCCGTTGGAAGTTGGTTCTAAGCTTCCTCTACTCTTTCTGTGAAGTACTACTTTCTAATATTAGTTTGAATTTCCCTCCTCTCAGTTTGAGGTTATGCTCCTGTATTCTTGATTTTTGCTTAATATTGAAAATACTGCCTGCCTGATTCACACCCATAATATATTTAAAAGTTTCGATTATATACCAATGATGGAATTGTCCGCAAATCAGCAGGCTCCAAAAATCCATAGGCATTCAGTCTTGACAGGGTTCAGCTAAAGCTTGTTATTCCCCATCCAGACCCTCATAGTCTCCAACCACCAAGATAAGTCATCCACAGCATTGCTTAACTCTTCAGGAGAATAGGTGTATAATTGAGTATCATCAAGCGTACTGATGATACCTCATTCCATGGCAACAGATGAGCTCACCTAGCAACTTCATGTAGATGTTAAACAGGAGAGGAGAGAGTACCAAACCCTGGGACACCCCCCCATAGCAGGTGCTGAGGACGGAATCTTTCTATCCCCCCATCTCCCCTGACTGGAATCAACCCTAGGGAAAGGAAGAAAACAAGCACAGCTCAGTGCCACCCACTCCCTATTCACTGAATTGGTTCAGAAGGATACCACGGTCAGTGATATTGGAGGCTGCTGAGAGGTCAAACAGAGTGAGGATAGGTGAGCCACCCTAACTCACTGTCACTAAAGATCATGTTAAAAAAGCAACCAATGTTTTTGTCCCACACTCAGGCCTGAAACCAGATTAAAAAGTCTCTAGATCAGAGGTGTCAAACTTGCGGGCCACGGGCCAGATGCATCAGGCGCTGGCCAGGCCTACTCCTGATTTAGCGAAGGGGGAAAAAGTTGTGATACATCATGTGACGACATGACAATGCGAGTTTGACACCCCTGCTCTAGATAATCCATCTCATCTAGGATTCTGTGAAGCTGTTGTGCGGTCTTTTTCTCAACCATAAGTCTTTTAAAAATCTAAATAAACAACGAAAGCCAGATAAACCCTCTATCTATATTGGCATTTACAAAGAATTACAAAATATGGCTAAGATGTGACTTGCCTTGTAGAACCCAGGTTATTTTTTTCAACATGATCCCTCTGTTGCCTGGTAATTTTGTTTCTAATAATATTTTATACCATCTTATTAATTTTATCTGGAATAAAAGTTAAGCTAATCACTCTGCAGCTTTCTAAATCACTTCTATATTTTAAAAAATTGTATTTCCTAATCTTGGGTCTGGATGAGTAAATTCTGGTGCAATTTAAGATATTGTGGTAACCTATAAAACCTTATATGGCTCAGGGCCAGTCTGTTTTAAGACCACCAGAATGGGCGTACTCTAGGTTGCTTCTCTTAAACAGTGCCATCTAGTGGAATGCAGGAAACATGTCTTCTGTGTTGTAGCACCTGGCCTATGGATTTCTCTGGGATCTGGACAGTCCCAACCATGCTAGCTTTCCAGAAAAACTGGCTTTTCCTTAGGCTCTCCTGTGTTAACTATTCTACTGTTACACAGTTGGCATAATATTGTTATATTATGTCTTGTTTTATATTGGGTATTATATTTTGAGCCACTCAGAGTGACCAGATTGAGATGAGGCACTATATAAATTCTATAAACAAGGAAAGAAATCATACCTACTTTCCAGTTGTTTGATAGAGTTAAGGAACTTTTATATCCAGAAATTCAGCTTTTTCCTCTTTCAGTTTTCAAGAACACTGAACAATATCTCCATGGAAATTATTTCTCTTTTATTTATCAGTAATATCTAGAACATCTATTGTCACTGTTTGCCTCAGTTTGTATGTTCCTAAAGAACACAGGCATTTGCCCCAAGTTATCTGTACAGCAAAGGCAGACACTAATAATTTCTCATTGTCTTCTATGAATAGTTTAAATTTGTTGTCTTTTGATCTGTGGTGCATTTTGTTCTAATTAGGAAAACAATCCAGTTCCAAAATGAAAGTTTCCTGCAGTAGTTTCCCTTTCACCGATTAACTACTTTGATGATTCTTGGAATTGATAGAACATTTTCTGACTTGCAATATACTCATTTATAATGTTTTTGCCATTCAACTCCCTATTTTTTTTTTTACTAATCTTTTCGATTTGATAATGAATGAGTTTGCAACCTTCATTAGATAAAATATCTTAAGTGTCTAAAACTATATTGTTTAACACAAGGGAATCACTCATGACTTGGACAGAAGTAGAGATGTTTGGAAGAGAAACTATTTATGTATTATGGTAGAAACTAAGCAGCATTGCTGTTTTCTCAGGCTAAACTTGATGACACGATAGATGAACTTTCTGCTGAAGTTTCTTACTTAGATTTGCCCTCTGTAAAGGGAAGCATAAAATATACAGTATATCAATATACAGCATGTTTGTGGGCACTTGGATAATTATCCAATTAACAAACTCAACAGGGGCTTGGCACAAGCAAATCATGCCAGATTAACTGTGCGTCTTTCTTTAACAGTAGCTTAATAGATTAGGGGAATACCAGTATATCAGTGGCTTATGAAAATTTCAGTAACATGGTAAAATATGAGCTAAATAATATGTTCATTAAATGGACTCATACTTGATTGAATAAATGTGCCCAAAGCAAGGTCCATTAATAGCTTTACTTCAGCCTGAAGGGAACTATCCAATGCGATGCTATGGGCCTCTTCCCTGAGCCCTATGCTGTTTAACATTTTTATCAGTGCCTTCAATGAAGGAATTGAGAAGACAGTTTCAAATTTGCAGATGACATAAAACTAGAAGGGATAGCTAATCCTGCAGATCAAGGATCTTCAAAGTTGGCAAGTTTAAGACTTGTGGACTTCAACTCCCAGAATTCCTCAGCTAACATGACTGGAGGAGGAATTCTGGGAGTTGAAGTCCACAAGTCTTAAAGCTGTCAAGTTTGAAGACTCCTGCTGCAGATGAACGAAAGGGGGATTGGGAAAAAAAAGATCCAGACAATCTTGAACAGTAGGCTAAAATTAATATAGTGGAATTGAATACAAATAAATGTAAAAGTTCTGCATCTGGGTAGCAGAAAAGAAAGTCACAAACCTAGAATGGGAAGGCTTGGCAGCAATACATGTAGACAGTATCTGAGTGTCCTTCTTGGATACAAGTTAATCATGAGCCAGCAATACAATGAAACTTTTAAAACCACTCTTGAAAGTACATTAGAAGAATTGTTCCACCAATGTTGTTCTGACTAATCCCATTTGGAGTTAAGTGTCCAGCTTTGGCCACCCCTGTCCAAAAAGGACAATGAAAAATTGGAGCAAATTCAGAAGAGGTTACCAAGTTGATGATGGATATGGATAAAATCTGTGGGGAAGCATTAAAGGGTATTGACATGTTTAGCCTCCAGAAAAAGATGACTGAGGGGAGATAGCAATCTTCAGATACCTGAAATGCTGTTACCCAGGGGAAAGATTAGAATTATTCTCAGTTGTCCCAAAAGTGCTTTTTCCAGAGGCAACTGGACTTCCTTGTTTTTTCTTTTGAAGACGTTTCACTTCTCATCCAAGAAGCTTCTTCAGCTCTGACGGGATAGTGGGGAATGGAAGGATTTATATTCCTTGCAGACAGCTGGACATTTGCATCCTTTTAGAGGGTCCTTGAAGCACCTGGAGGTTTATCTGTGTCCTCAGGGTCACCTGAGTAGCACTCCTGGTTCCTGTAGTCTGCAATTTTTTTCCTTGGAAATCCATTCCTACTCCCACACC